ACAATTTATCGAAACCTCCAGCCCCCCTCCCCCCCCGCGCCCTCTGGCTTGAACGCAGAGCTTCTTTAACGCACACTTCCGACGACCCCTCGCGACTTTAATGGCCACTAGCACACCAGCGCATTTGTTTGAACGTACTCGTGCGACTCGAGTGGAGAACGCCAACTGTCGATACTCGACGCTCTATCCGGATAACCAATTCATGCCCTTCCCTCCCGCCCGTCGCGGTCACCTTTGTACGCCCGTTTCCCTCCAGCCCTCCGCCTTCGGCGCACGCGTTGGCCTAACGATGACACAACTATAGTATGTACGTAATACTACATAAAAGTATCGGTCGAGGGAACAATGGATCGATAAGATAGAGGAACTAACGTTAACCTACTGAAATCGAGTTCTGTCGCAAGAAAACAACGCACTGTCGATTGCGATTCCCTTTTACTCAAATAGCTGCATTATCGATCGAGTGGTTAATAGTAATGTTAGTTTGTTATGATAGATGGCAATAATAGTACGATACCGTATTAATAGGAACAAAGATTATAAGATGTATATTATAACGTGACGAACGTCCTGAGTGGTACTGGTAATAATAATGTTTCGTTCTGTAATTGAGATATGTACGTGGTCTTGTATTTTAGGAACCGAGTTTTAAGAATGTAAAATTCGAGCGCCTGTTGACAAGCAATCGGGATACAGCGATGCAGTTTCAATAAAATTTCGGGTAAGTTAATTATTTGGCCGAAGTATTATTGAAGCCCTGCAGAGATCGTTGACGTATGACGGGTTGCTCGACGACAGGCGTCTAAAATTTAAATCCTTAAAGCTTCGTTATTTAAAAATAGACAGAGATTGAATGTGTTTATTAAACAAAAAATGTTCCTTTCGTTGTCCTAATTTAAAATTTATTTCATTTACCTTTAATTTCGGAATATTCAATAGGTATTTGAAATTCAATTTTTGTTTAATTTTAATTGCGTTAAACGAGAAATTTACATCATTTTGTTTGAAATTTAAAATATTGATCAATTCTCTGGTTCATTGTGTAAGATGTTACTGATTGAAGACTACCAATGTATTCATTAAACGTATACATTTTTAATAGGTTTTGCATTTGAAATTGATTTACTTAAGAAGCCATAAATTGTTCACAATATATGTTCCCTGTAGTATCCTTGATCTTAAAATAGTTATCTTCTTTATAATAAAATTAAATTGAAATAATTGGAACACGTTAAAATAAACTAATCGATAACGTTTGCAGAAATCTGACGTCCATGAGGAAAAATTGGATACGAATTTTACAGCCAAGTTATCGATTGTATAAATACAGAAATATCGGAGAAACGTGGTCGGTATAGAAATTTCGATACAAAAGTACTTAACAGATCAGCTATAATAACGAAGCAACAGATGTTAAAAATACTACCTTTATCGGTAACTTGGCACGTTGAAACTTCTATTAAATTCACCCGAGATGATCTAGAATGTGAATGTGACTGCGAATAGAATACGAACAGATATAGACAGAATCTTTCAACAGAGTATATAGAAATTTCTAAAATTCTCGAGTTACATTTTAATATTTTAATTAATTTTAGTAACTGAAATATTACTAACGTTTCCTTAAAAATTAATTCCTCGTTTATCACACAAATCATCGTGGAATATAATTAATTTCGAAATGTTGTGACATTCAAAAATATGAGTTTATATATACTTTGATATTTTATACCAGGTATCTTGAACTTTCATAAATGGACACACTAATAAAAAAATTCATGCTATATTCTAGGAGTAATAATATTTCTACTGCAATAATTAATAATATTTTTCTACTATTTAATAATCAATTTTAACTATTATAGTTCTACTGCATAATATGAAAATTAACCAAGTAGTATTTCATACCCCTTCCTTTACACAAATGTATTACAGGTTGCCTATCCTATGGTACAAATAAACAAAATGGGTTTTATTTTAAATGACTAATTTACAAATTTATATCTATTATGTTTTCATTCCTACTTTTATGCATAGAATATTTTTATAATGGTTTAAGTAGAATTTAAAAATACAATGAAAAATTATAAAAATTGTGTTACATTTTAAATGTAAACTTTTTATTTCAATGTGTATTTTGTACTCTTGGTTACTGCATATCAAAAAATTTTACTGTGATATAAAATCTTCGCTTTTAATTTAGTAAGACTCAGATTTTCCTCTACTTGTTGACATGTAAAATTTATCATAATAAGTAGTATGATTCCTAATATACGAACTACGAAGTAACTGGTGCCACCACCTAACGGCGATATCGTGTACAAGCAAGTAAATCAACAAACTGTATTACCACAGTCGGTAAGTTAAATCAGTAATAAACCTCGCGCGAAAACCACAAATTGACAGTATTGTTTTCAATAAAAAAGCTACATTCTTTCAGCTCCTTTCGAACCACATGCTTCGCGTATTCATATAATGCATTATAAATTATTCACATATCAAATTAATTTGCGTAGCTTGATTCTAACAACCGTCTTTCTCCCTCTTAGAGGATAGGGAAGCCATATTCCAAAGCTCCCTTTGACCGATCTACAGGGTGATATCACAACGTAATTCTTACGAGAACGTCAAAGATCCCACAAAACAGGCTGAAATTCTCTTACAGAGCCACATACTCGCCGTTTCGTATCACAATGTATACACCAGATACACAAGTCGACGTCGATACCGCACGATTTTAATGGTATCCACGAAATTTTGTGCAATTTGTTGCAGGGGTGGCTTTTATTTTTTTTTTTCTTACTCACACTTGCACGGACTGTTTTTCTTCCGTAAGGTCTGCATCGATAGTCCCGTATAGGCGACGGAAAGTATCGGATATAGGAGAGGAGAATGCTACCGATCTTCTCTCTCGGCGCACCCTCGGCCGCCGTACTATCGTGGATAGAATTCTCAACACAGACACATGTCGCTCACACGTCTCTTTCTCCCTCTGTTTCTACGATTCCTCTCTGTCGCTTTCTTTCTGTTACTCTCCCACTCGCTTGCTCTTTCTCTCTCTCTCCCTCACTCCCACTCCCGTTCCCTTTTTCCCCCGCGGCCTATCTCGTGCCTCTTTAGCTATCCTGGCTGGCCGTTACTCTTCCGTTACTCCCTCTGTCTCCCTCGATTCGTGTATTTCCACGGGAGTATGAGGCTGGCGCGTTTCACGTACGGTCGGTACTTCTTGTTCCGCAACACGGTCGCACTTTGTCGCATACAGCAAAAAGAACACCAAGATCGTGTGAACACTGTTCGAAGATCGGTTTCTCGCGGTACACACGCGTCACGTAAAAATACGGAGGAAGTAACAGCTGCCTCTGCCGGCACAGGTCACCCATGTTAGCCTCTCTTATTGATCAATAATATACCATCTAGTACGTGGCGTCGTCGCTTCGGGGCCACAGAGAACATTTCCCGCTTTGCGCGCGCTTTTCCGCTAACTCTAGATTTTCCTATTCCTTTCCTAGTGTTTTTACCACCCAGAAACAAAAATACTTTCTACACTGATCTCGTTCATAACGAATTATAGTTGTACGTGATTCGATAATTTTCTTTCGCGGCTCAGATATCGACCGAGGCGAAATATCGATAGACACGCTACTTTTATTTTTCGTCACAACCTCCAGCGGGGTGGCGCGATTATCCGTCGTGGCGTTAGTGTTACCTCTCCGTTTATAGTTGCTCTTCACTCTTAAAGACTATCGAAGAATTGAAAATTACAATGTCATTGCGTAATAATGCATAATGTCTGTTTCGAATGGTTCAATAAACGTTGACTATATTCTTAATTGTTCTATTTTATAAACATTGCATTTTGAATGTTTGTATCATTGACAATCATTGCATGGATAATTCGAGTGTATAAAAGTGGATCATTTAATCGAAGTGTATTACAAAATGTGTATATAATTAAATTTTATATTCTACGTAGTTCATCACGTAGTTCATATTAGTAAAAAAGTATATACCGAATAATAAAAAGTTGTTTATTAATTACAAGGAATAAAAAGTTAATAATTTCAAGTTCAATCGAAATATGTCACATACTGATTGCAATCTGCATTCAGTAGGAACATTAAATAAATTTGCATTTTAATTTTAGTGACGCACTTTGTATTGAAATTATTAAATTTATTACCATTTGATTTTAATACATTAACAATGAATATCCCGGCGAAAGTGGTGGTGGATCATAAACAAAGGACAAAACAGATAGGAATATGAAGTTTGAATTATATATAGTTACACCTTAACCTCAACAGATGGCACTGTAAATTTGCGCGGCAGAAACGAATTTCTTCCTAAAAGAACGAGTGTAACTTCTGAAATTAATTTTCTACAAAATACGACAAAAACGCAAATGCAATAAAATATTATTACAACTATTTTTTAATAAACCCTATGTACAAATAATTGAATATTGATTTAATTAAAAACTATGCTAAAAATTTATCTTAAAATAATATTAAAATGTACTAAATGTTTATGTGATCTGTTTGTTATTAAAATAACTTTAAATTATAATTAATTGTAACACTTATAAAAGTAATATAAAATATTATGTCAAATTATCTAAAAAAATGATTCGATTTAATACAACTCTAATAAATATGTCTGATATGCGAACTTTGTTAACGTTTACTGTTGTTTCCTGACGTGAATACGAGGCTTAAGGACTTTACAATCTTAATACTATTCAGAGTTTCTTACTATGATTTATCTCCCCCATGTTAAAGGTTAAATGAATTTAAATGCAATATTTTATAGTGTGCGATAAATATGATATATACGTCTGACTTTACAATTGAACAACCTGTCCGTTACATCAGATAATATATTTTTAAATGAAGTTATAAAATTATAAAAACTTTATTAACAACAGCGCCTGCATAAATACATTCTTTCGCGTGGATGGTTTACTTGAATTAAAGCAACAGCATTTTTAATGACATTCGAGAACCCCGTCCAAAAGAAAAAGCAAGATGCTACGCCATTGGTCTCCTCGTTTTTACCTTCACATCGAAGTCACGAGTTCTTAGTTTGCGCAGAGCCGCCGTAGAGTAAGGATGTGCTGTGTCGTTCGTCGCTTGCATCAGTGAAAGAAGACAGAGAGAAATTAAATCTGCAGTGCTTCTCTACATTATTTACAAGCATCATCCGTGTCTTAAGAATATTTCCAAGCTAATCCGGCGGCTGATAAATGAACGCACACCATGACATCCCGTAAAAACTTGGCCCTTATAATAACGATAGTACTGGGAATTTTCGCAATTAACACGCACGCCAGATCTTGGGGTAAGTAGAGTGATCATTCGGTGAACTGTTTTATGTGACGAAAAATCGTAATAACAGTGATTTAACGCTGTACACACGGTATAAATGCCACCGCGTTGCGGGTCGCGCGAACGCTGTCTCCATTCACGCGGTCTCGGTGGTCACGTACGCCACTTCTCGCAGACTGTTTTACCATGCAGAAAGTCGAAACACGGCCCAAACGTGAATGAAACCGACCTTTGATTTGTCTCGAAACGCTTCGCAAGACTCTTACGATTCGTATCGACAAGGAAATGAGGCGAAACGGTACATGTCCTTATACCTGTTTACGTAATGAATGTCAAGCAGTGCTGTTTGCGTTCACGTATATGCGACACGCACACGAGATCGATGTGTAACAAGCAAACAGCGGTTTTAGCGAAAACCTAACGAATCGGCAAGAAAGGTCCATATCGGTTTACCATGGCTCGGTAACATGCCTAGAAACTGTCGCCTACCGGCGAAATTTTAAATCATACATATATTAAGTAGATGCACGAATGTGAACCTTTCCCACCTATTTGCATTGCTCGTTTCGACGAACGGTCAGTAGAGAAACCCATGTGGCATGGGAGTTCAAAAATAGATAGCGCTCGCGCGTATAAATGAATTTTTTGCGTTCTAGATGATCCTCGAATTCTCGTTCTATCGGCTCGTGCACGTTCTCGCGAGCGCGTTTAGTAAAACTGCCCCGCCGTGCATGCTACTACTAGACTCAATACCCAACGTTTAATTATGCGTACGCGATGAAGTGTGAAATGTGGATTACGTAACGCGTGTAACTGATAAGATTAATAGGTTTGTTTAATTCTATAATAATACAAAACGTTTACGATACGTGGGATCGGCTGTATCTATTCATCGATATGTGCATATATGTATACGGTTACTTAAAATCCGCAATGGTATAGCGTAATAGGTTAATTTAATTAAAAATGCATGAATTAATTTTCGATTATTCTAGATGTCGAAAAAAATTCATTCTACTGGACCCAGCCCAATGACAAATGCACCGGTTTTATTTAGCGTATTTTCATCTCGTTAATGAGTATAACGTGTTTGTTACAAATCAGCATGACCAGAGCGTTTCCAGCTCGATGTAACTGAGTAGCTGTGTCTTATGTTGCGATTGCAAAGCGGGAAATACAAGACGTTCGAATTATACAGCGAAATGTAAGACTCGTGACAATTTACCAGAAAAATTTTAAACCGAGAATAATAACAGCGGAAGATGACTCAGCTTTGCATATCATTTTTCACTCTCCTCATTAATTTTTCGACCCTCATTCTATTATGCAAATATTTTAATATATCTCATTATTGCAAAAGAAAAAAGAAATTCGATAAAAATGATTCTGAAATTATTACTTAAATTGATATTAATTAAATGCTGATATTAGATCAAGTTTTTGTACATTCGATAACCTCGCTAACAAAAACCAATTAACAACCTGTCTTTATTTGCTTTATTAATAATCAATCGCGTTAATTACAATAATATTAAAATTATGATTGACTACTGCCAATGATTACAGTTATCGCTATTATCGACATTATTATTATTGTTTTATTCAATATATTATGTCATTATTAATATTGCTAGCAGTCACATTTACATGCTTAAAATTCTTGAACAAAATCTAAAGGAAGATATTTTTTCATATTAATAGAAATACAGCGGATATTATTTAATAACATGAATGGGGACAAATATGTGCTAAGAGCACACAAGTTTTCCGCTTATTATCGATTCTTGCATAAACAAAATCACTACTCGTGCGTACATGAGTCCATCAACGAAACTATGATTTCAATGAACGCGTAAGTTGCTTAACATATTCATACACACGCGCGCACATATGCATTGCGAAAATGTCAACAGCTTATTTCATGATTCGAAGGCATTGCGCATTTCTATTTCCTCCTGGTCAGGTCAGTTGACAGTGAAAAAAAATTTAATGATCTTCGACATTCGATCCGATTTATCGACATCAGCCTTTGTGATAACATTTAATCTGTCACCGTATTTTCCGGATAATATGTCGCATGATTTTCTTATTTACGATTATTGACGATTTAGTAACATGTCTTGCATAAATGCAACTGATTTTTCATTTTTCAACCCCTCTAGAGAATTATCTGAAACAAAAATACTGAAATAGGATAATATTTTAGGGACAAAATTTTATATTATTAAAATAAAATAATAAATTGGTTATTTCTTTATTTCTAGTTATATTGGTTCGGTTAGAAAGTCACTAAGATATTGAATATTTCATTCTTTACTCTATGTTAGCTTTGCAATAATAATTTTAATTATTTAAATAGCATAATTTCGGTAACATTGATTTATTTATTTTATTCATAATCATTATCATGCATCGTTTCATTTAACTTTCTCGCATCAAGCTTACTACGGCTTCCATTTCGAGATATAGAGTTTCAAAGTTTGTGCATCAAATTCCTAGCGCGCACTTTTTGAATCTCCGACGGTTGCGCGCGCAGCGTCGCAGAACATATGCGTTTTAGACACGTGCAGATTGAATTCACCTATACTTAATGGAAGAAATGTAAAATGGTTATGCAATCAAAGTGCACGTGTAAATGTATAAATTAATATTTGAAATAAAATATTCAACACGTACGTGGAAGAGTGCGAATTATAAATCACTTTCAGAATTATGGTACTTTCTCTTTCATTCTTCCCTATGTACAGCTTGAAAGAGTGGTTTTACAAATGGGTAAGATATTTCTTTTTTTTTAATGTAAAGTACAAAATTGATATACCCTGTAATAATACATCACATACAGCCCTGGGGACATGGTGCATCAATCGGTGCCGCCAATTTATAGGTTAATTTACAATTGCAATATAATCAAGTATATGAATACGTATGCACACACATTTGTAGGATATATTTGTACCAGAAATAGAAATAGAATAAGAATACATTTTTCATATTAATTAATATATTTCTGAACTCTGTGTACAAATATCCATCCACAACTATTTTCTTTAATTTCAAATTCTTACCATTATTATTATTATTATTATTATTATTATTATTATTATTAAGTTATTCCACAAATTGATCATTTTATAGCAAATATAGCGTCACGCTAATACAACACAATGGCAGAGTAAAAAGCAGAAGAAATAAAATTTGTGAACAGTAAATATATAATTTACAATTTCGCGTTGGGTAATTTCCATTTAGAAGCGTGTAGCAAAAAGAATGCAAAGCGAGAAAGATTTATCCGAATAAAAATTATTGGACAGATATTCCCGATAATAATATTAAACTACGGAATTTTATGTAGAAAATGACACGTTTGAAATGTCCACCTTAATCTGCGATATTTTTAACGAAATAAAGTAACGAGTACGATATAAATATTCCTCTCTTTACTATTGCTATTATTTATTTTCTTTCCATCGCGAACCTTCAATTACTGATATATATTCGAATGCAAATGCGGCTATGTCAAAATAAAGTCAACAAATCCGAAGATAGTATAAACCTCAGATTACCTAATCAACGCATATTTATAAATTTTACTGTTATGTTAAGCCTCAGTTTTAATATCTTAATAATTGATTTCGAAGTCTCCCTTTTTTCTTTTTTTTTCTCCCTTACATCTTCTTTATTAGTTCGCCGTAATGTTAATTTTTAATTATAGAAATAATTGTTATATTTATAACATATCCAGCGAAATGGACGGGATCGAAGGAGTCGGAGTTAATCAGCCTTAATTAAGTGATATCTTACTGCAAATACGCGAAGAATGAGTTCACGGACCCTATCTCCGGCCTATAAAATCGAGACGTTTGCTACTCACTTGTATTCGGAAATAATAAACTTAATTATACGAATACATTTGTGCTTTCTCCCAACAAGCTGAAGGAAAATTCGATGTTTATACTTTAGAACGGATTACCCGAATATCCGTGAATTACACCGAGTATCAAAGGTATTCGAAGCGTAGAGTACTGAGTATGCTGATATTTCTTCCTACTTATCTCTTTATATCGTTTTTTCAGATATTTTATGTCACGAATTGAAGCGAGTAATCTAAATTTCGTGAAGATGCTCGAAGTAACCAAAGTGTTTATATATATATATAAAATATCGAGTACCGAGTTTGAGTAATTCGAATACTTTTGTCATATCTTTTTTTGTATTAAAAAAACACACGTGAATCACGCGTTAAAGTGAGCAATATCTGAATGTGAAGTTATTCGTAGTATCTCGTGTTATTTCGATGTTCATATAAAACACCCCTTATATTCTGTATTTTTTAAACTTATCTTGTCGAATTAAAATTATTCGAATTTTTCACGATATACAGGTAAAATTGGGCATCGAAATTATTATAATAAACTCGTGTGTTTCCAAGTGTTCATAACACTTGTGGAAATTAATTTTTCTTGTTTTATACTTAAATATTATTTAGTACTAACCAAGATAATCATGGTCTGGTCTCATTTGGCCAGATGATGGTTAATTAAGATAATATCATTTAAAGCCTAAACATACTTTTAAATAAACACACTATTGCAATATATGTATATATATGTGTGTGTGTTTTACAAACATATGTCGCTTGAGTAACTGCATTTTGATACTTGTCACTATGAAGTAGGAAAAATGATTAAATTTAGAGAGAGAAGATATACTCTACGCTATTGACAATCATTCATTTTTTGATTACAATTGCTGGTTCATTCCAAAGTCCATTGCATAATACAATTTTACAATGTAAACTGTCCGGAATTATTTTTTTTACTTTTTCCCTATCTTTTTCGTTCTTTTTCCCAATAATTTCCCTCTTCGATAATTTGTGACATATTATAAATTATTAAGATACGTATAACTGCACCCTTGTAAACAGCTAAAAGATAACGATAATGCTATCGTAGGTTCCATAGTATTAGGAAAAATGCAGAAATCAACGTTCGAATAATAACAATCGCAATTTTGTATTTAAATTCGCTTTAAAAATAATAAAATTCACTTAATTACCGTGAATTGAAGTTGTAACACGATTTTAAATTAAAATTATACCTTATTTTGGAACTCTTGGGCATAATGAATAAAACATAGAAGTTGAAAAAAAAGTTTTGACAATGTTAATTTCTTTTTTTACTAATTTATTAACAGATTATAAATGGAATACAGAATATTATAGAAGTGTGTTAAATTCTTTTCCTAAATTCTAAAAAATCACAGAATATCTGTTATAATACTGTACTTGCATTCTTGGAACTGTACTTCACCATCTTTGATATTGTTCAAATATCATTTTTAATACTCTTGAAGTATTAAAAATCTCTTCTGTTGTTTCTCAGATGCGTTTTGTACTTGAGTTAATATCACTACTTAAATTTATACTTGAGTACTTTGAGTACTTTACTTACATTTTAGTACTTTTAAATTAATACAGTACTTAGAGTTTATACTTGGGTCAAGTACTTAAGTTATTACTTAACTACTTAAATACAAAAGTTTAGAAATATAATATATATTATATATGTCAATACAATAATATATCAGCATAATAATCTAAGAATAATTAATAATATTATTTAATACTGTTTCATTTACATGCAATGCCAATACACATACTGGCACAAACAACAATTGAACTAAACGCAAATGATAATTTATTCAAATAATCGCAGTGATTTTAATCAAATCAATTTTCCATTAAAATATTTTGCTTTTTATTTTTGCAGATTTGGCGATAGTGATAGGGCGTGAAGTTGAATTCTTCTCAAGAAATAAAACTCTAATCGGCCAGGCGAAGTTGGCGGAAGCTGCCACCCTTTGGGGAGTGGCTTATGATGATATTACTCGAACAATGTATTTCAGTGATGTGGGTAACAATAACATATCCATATTCAGTAACGACCTGAGGGATAAGAATTTTACTGTGAAACCGATTCTTAAAAGTAAGTATATTACATTGAAATAATTATTCCAATTTTTCGTTTGTTTCTCAACATTCTGTGTAATTCTATATAACATAATTTTATTCGTGTCACATATTAGGTAACATATTGTATTAATAACATTGTAACATAAGTTACACGATATTTAATAAAAACCTGATTAATTAACATTATGAATCTTCTATGGAAAATATTTAGCATGATTAATTCCTTTGGGCTACATGGTGTTTACAAAATGGCGATACATATTTACCTCTCGTTATTCACCACTTGAATAAATAATGAATTATTCAAATATCTTGGAACATGTTTGTAAAACATACATAATAAAATCTATAGAATGTATGTCGAGAGATGAAATTAAGAAAGTTTTACTCGTCATTCTTCAAAATGGATTCAGTGAAGATTCAAAAACGAAAAAAAAAAAGAAGAAAATAGAAATTTTATTTCTATTGGACAAATACACAAATTATTTATATATTATATATTTATAAAATATATA